CTCCTCCTGGCCCTCCTGACCATCCTTCAGGGGGGCTCCCAGCTGGAGGGGCACGGGGACTGGCGTCTGCCTCGGTGCCTGTCCGATGTGGCCAAACTCACAGGTTTCTGTGTCCAGCGCCCGCATCCCGGAATCCCCCAGGGTCCCCACTTTGGACTGCAGCGGATGGAGCCTGAGCTGCCCCCAACCCCGAGGGAAGATGGGACCCAAGCAGGAGCGGAGAGGGGCACACAGAGATTGAACCGGGAGATTGCTGGGGAGATGCAGGAAGAAAATCTCAAAAAAAACCCAAAACACACAAACCCGATTGGCTGCCACCCCCCGCCCCTTCAACCCTGCCTCGTACATGTCAAAGCTTTTTTTTTTTTTTTTTTTTTTTTTAATGGACTTGGGTGCACAGAATTCGATGACTCATCATCCTCGGTCCGTGACAGACCTATTGGTCCTGCTTTTACTTTACCTTTGTTTGTTTGAAGAACGGCACCCCCCACGGCGACCGTGACACGGATGGCCGCTGCCGTCTACCCGCGCTTATCTTTCCTTTGACTTCTGCAAACAGCGTGCTCCCCAGCATCTATCTGAGAAAGCCAGTCTGGCTGTGCCTCGCCTTCTGGGGCGTCCTTGTCTCCCCCGGCATCGTGTTCCAAGGCGTAGACGGGTGTAGACGGTTCAACCACATCACCGTATAAACATACATATCTTCTTGGCAGTCAAAAGAGCCACCGTCTGTATAAAGTGAAACGGATGGGTCTCAAAATACGTTGGACCAAAGGACCCAGAACAGTCCCCACAGTACAAGGTCACGGCGGTGGGGCTCACAGCAGTCCGACCCGTGCGGGTGGGAGCTGGGCCTGCCTCTCGTGGGTCGGAGGGGCTGAGAGGAGGGGACAAACGACCCTGCAGTGATGGGAACGTTCGTATGTCAGCCCAGCCGGCGTGCACGTGGGGGTATCCGTTTGTCACAGCTCATCCGGCCACACCCCTGAAATCCATACGTTTCATTACAGTAAATTGTGCCACAGTTTTGGAAGAGTTTGGGGTAAGGAAAAAAAAGGTGTAGGAAATGATGATCCAAGCCCTGCTTTGATCTCATGAAAAGCATGTCTCGCCCAAAACGATGAGGGCCCTTTGGGAGCTGCTGCTTGGCTCGGGCTCCGTGACAGGGACATCGCCAAGGGGCTTTGCAGAATGTTTCCTTCTCATCAGCACATCACCTCCTCACTGCCTCTGCCTTCCCTCAAACCTGCGTCCAGGGGGACCCTGGAGGCCCACCCAGGGGCATGAGCCACGTGGCCCAGCCACTCAGTCGTGGCATGAAGGAGACCCAGGGGGGAACCCGAGCAAGAAAGACAGCTTGTGCCTTTGGCCTCCACCCAGCACGCCCCCTCCAAGACTGCTCCTCTTTGGTGGGGACGTGGCAGCCGCGTGGGGCATCACAGATCAGACGTCCGTGGCTCTGTGCATTCCCGTAGCTCAGCCGCCCCTGGAGAGGCCAACACTCATGAAAGACCCAGCGTTCCCAAAGTGCCCCCACTTCACCCCTGGCAAAGTGTCCCCACTCGCCCACAACCCTCTCCTACCCACTTCCTGGCCTCTGTGATTCTGCCTACTCTGAGTGCCTGGGCTGGGACAGTCCCAGGCCAACCAAGACAGTTGGTTTCCCTCCCTGTTGGTGACACGGTCCACGGGCACTGCGCGTGCCCAGCAGAAATGCGCAGCCCGACGAGGGGAGAGCAGAGCCTTCTTAGGTGGACAGTGCCCTGCAGGCAGGCTCTCGCCCAGGCTGGGCCAGCGGCACGTGGCAGTGTGTTCGCTCTGTCGAAGCCCCTGGCTGGGCAGCTGACCGGGGGCCCTTCCTGACCAGGAGGGCCTAACCATCCAGCAAGGGAGGCTGGTACCACCACCCCCAATCTCTCTGGTTTTCCAGTTTTGGCCCTACAACTTCAGCTGTACCTTTTAGAGCCTTACAGCTGAGTTCCAGTGCGTTCAGCAGTGAAGAGCTTTGCCCAGAAACCCTGTTCCCACTGTGGGAAGAGATGACGGTCCTACTGGACCCCTTCCCTGCCATTTTTACAGCCGGAGCAAATGCCCGCGGGTCCCTGAAGGACAGAATTAAGGCTAGCTGGGTATCAGTTAAGTGGAGACCACATTGATAGAACCTTCCAGAAACAAGCTACCCCAGGATGAAAGGAATTGCCTCAAAAAGGAGTGAGCGTCCCCTGCCTAGGGGTATGCAAATGGGAGCTCTCCAGAGTCCCATTACTGAAAGAGATGATGCACAGCCCCCACACACACACCCCGGCTTGATTTTGTGCCCCCGCTGTGTTCCCCTCCCTGTCTGGGGGATTTCAGGAGCATCCCTGTTCTGTGGCTTCAGTGGGGAACCTGTTGTAAACTGTCCCACAAATTAAACCCTCCAGCTCCCTTCCCTCTGCTCACTGACCTGACCTCACAGATCGGAGCTCTCAGAGCAGGTCTGCTAGACAAGTTTACCTGGAAATCTGGAAATGGCCCTTCCCGGCGGCAACACCCCCCCCACCCCCGCCCTGCCCCTTGCCTCCTGCTTGAGGTCCGTCGCCAGAACAGGGCTCCGACTGGCCGGGGCTTGCCAGGATGGCTGAGGGGAGGCCGGTGTGAGGGCCCCGCTCTGCTGGGTTAGGAATCCGAGAGTAAACAGATCGGGTTTCCAGTGTCAGCTGGGCTTTCCATAACAGGCGCCACAGCAGTGGAAAATGAGAATGTTCTCTGAGATGACTCAGCCTGCCGGCCCCCAGGTGGAGGCAGCCCCCGGCCTCAGCTCTGCCCCAGTGACCAGCTGTCGGCCAAGCCCCAGGGGATGGCAGCGGGTTTCCAGGCTCGAGGACTGTGGTGCACGTCACGGGGCTCGCTGTCAGGATGAGGGCAAGTGCAGCCACCTTGGCCGCCTGGCGGGTTGCAGTCCTCAGTTTCCCCATCTGCGAAATGGGATCAGCAGTTCCTCTGCCAGGGTGTGGGGTGGAGGGGGGGTGTGAAGGGAGACCAAGGCAGTGCCGGCGGAGAGGTGCACATTGGAAGCTTGGGAAGAGAGCTTGGACCACAGCAGCGCGAACCCTGGGAAGTACAGAATTGGCCCCCCACCCACCCACCCACCCCTCCCCCGGAGAGCCACCTTCATCGGGGAGGGGAAGAGAAGAATTACAGAAGAATCAGAAACGAAAGAGGCGCGTCACCGTCAGAAATTGGAGGCCGTGGGGTAGATTCCACGTCCAGGGGAAGGCCTTGGCCATCCCCGGGTGGGGTCTAGTTGATCAAGGGCAAGGGCAGGAGAGCGGGAGAAAAGGGGGAGGAGTCATTGCTGAACTGAGCCGGATCCTTCCTAAGGCAGAGGCTGGCCAGTGACGATAGCCGGAGGGCTGGGGTGACCCGCTGGGGGAGGGGAAGGAAGAAGGTGGTGGCCTGGGGAGGAGATGGGGATGAGGGAGACTTTTTTTAGGATGTTGGAAACTTAAGCCTGTTTGTAGTTAAGACCAGGAAGCCAAGAAGGAGCTGGAGTCCCGAGAGGGAGGGAGGGAGGCGCTTGTGGGAATGGCGAGAGAAGCTCGCGCCGGAGCTGGTTTTCTTGGGCCAGAGACGAGAGATAAGATGGGTGAGAAAACAGACGTTTTGAGAGGGGGCCCTCCCCAGCTGGCCTCAATCATAGGAAGCCAGGGGTGTGGGGTCAGGGTGCAGAGCTCGGGGGAGAGGGCGGGCTGAGCCGATCCTACAGACGGGGCGGGAGCCGGGCCTGGGGGGATTCTGACTGGAGGTCATGGCTGAGAACGTTGGTGCTGGACAGAGGTCATCTGAGGATGGGGTCGGCCAAGGGGGCCACCCAGGACATCCTGCCCCTGGACGAGCAGCGGATGGCACGGAATCCAAGTGGTTGTCAGAGAGGAGAGGCAGGCGCTCGAGTGACCCGGGGGCCAGGGGCCCTCAGAGTTGCCAGGTAACAGGGCAACTCCCCCAGATTGGTTCTGCAGCCTTGTAACAGCCAAACCCTCTAGGGGCTGTGGTTTCCAGTTAATAGTGTCCTGGACTTGGCATGGGGGTTGGGGAGGCGGCGCAGAGGACACCTACGGATGGCTTTGGGGTCCAGTATGTTGATGATGGTTTTCGGCGTCCCGACAGTAGGCTGGAAGGGTGGGTAGGAGGTTGTGTGTCTCTGTGTCCTCAGTGGCCATGTTGAGGACCAGGGGACCTCGAGTAAGCTTCTGTGTCAGGAGGAAACCAGGAGAACATCAGCCCAGAGCCCAGACGGAAAGGGAGGGAGAAAAACTGGTGTGTTGTTGACCTGGGGCTTCTACCCCCAAGGGGGTGCTGACCTCTCACCCTGGCCCCTGCGATTGGGGGGGGTTTGCCCCCTCGATGAGTGGGAAGACAGGCTCAGGGGTCATGTAAATGTCTTTAGGCCACAGGGCTGTCGCCATAACTGGGACTCACACCCAGGCCTCTGTCCCGCAGAGCAGTGTTCTGTGGGGACCGTGTCGGGATCCATCCGTGGAGCTGAAGGGAACCCCCAGATCACTGACCAGCCAGGGCCACCTGGAATGACCTGGCTTGGGGGAAGTCACAGCCCTGGGACGGGTCCTGTCGACTCATCCTGCCACTCCTGCCTGATTCTGTCCCCACTCCAGTGTTTCCTTGCCGTGGCTGTGGTTCTGTGGCTGGGGCCAGACAATCACCTGGGTTTGACCAAGGGTCACACCCGTCCCATACTAACCCCCACCCCAGGTAACCCCATGTTCTTCATTCCCTTGCGTCTTTTTTTTTTTTTTTTTTTTAATTTTATTTATTTGACAGAGACACAGCGAGAGAAGGAACACAAGCAGGGAGAGTGGGAGAGGGAGAAGCAGGCTTCCCGCTGAGCAGGGAGCCTGATCCCAGGACCCCGGGATCATGACCTGAGCCGAAGGCTGATGCTTAGCCACTGAGCCACCCAGGTGCCCCCCTCCGCTTCTTTTTTGTGTGTGTCTTGAGACCTCATGTGGTCTGAAAGGTTTATTTTATTATTTTTAAGAGCGGTTCCTTCCCTCTCTGCCGGGACAGACGCTGCCGTCCGTGGGGTCTGCGGACTGACTTTGCCGTCTACCGTATTGTTGGGACTCACTCATACTTTTGCAAGTCACACTAGACCGTTCATCCTGACAGCTGGTCCTCATCTGTCCTCGTCTGCCTCCTTGCCCGGCGAGGGCCATCTGGGTTCACAGCCAGCTCTCTGTCCCTGAGAACAAGTGGTTATCAATTCTCGCATCCGCGGCTCCCGTGACACGTGGGAGAGGGCGGATGCCTCCCAGGGCACGTGCGAGGGCCACACCGGCCTCCCGGCTGTCCCCACCGTAGACACTGCACAGCCTACTGGGCCCAAGTCTGTAACTTCCTACCCTAACTGAGCCTCAGGCTTCCTGCCGGCAAAATGGGAATAATTAGTTGGGCTACACGTCTGTTTGGTTAGTGCCGATGACGCACAGACCGCGTCACCTCCTGTCCCAGCCATGCGGGGGCAGTGGCGGGGGGGTGGAGACTCGGCCCATCTCCCAGGAGCAGGTGTGTCACTAAGCACAATCAGATCTGGAAGTGAATAATCTTTCATGTTATCGTCACTGGGGAGGGATGGGCCGGGGCTTTGACCTGCCCTGGGGGTGCTGGGGTGGGGGCCACAGGAATGAGGAGATCCGGAATCAGACAGAGGTCATTTTACACCAGAGAAGCCAAGAACCTTCCCCTGCCTGCGAGGCCTGAGCACTGCCTGGACAGGAATGCTGCTGGGAGGTCCGGTTCCGCCTGGGTCTGCAGGCCAGCCCCTGGACTCGCCACTTTGCATGACCACACGAGCCCAGACAAGATCTGAGCACTGCCCTGTGTGTTCAGTACCTCCTTAAATCCCACACTACCCTGCCAAACCTCTTTCAGAGGTAAGAGAGCTGTTCCGGTCTTGTCTGGGGTAGGTGGTAAAGCCAAGATCCACACACACACACGGGCCCTTTCCATCTCTGACCCCCCAGGGAAGAAAGAGGACTACCAGTCGGCCGCATAGCCTGCACTTGGCTCTGGGTTCGCAAAGCAAGAGGCTGAACTTCCCCAGACTGTGGCCTACCCTGGCAGGGCCCTTCCTCCTCACCCCACCCATCTGGCTGCCCCAGGCCATTGGGACGTGCATAAGGAGGCTTGCGGCTTTGGCCCTCAGTGCAGGACTAGGCCAGCCTGTTGCCTCAAGTTCCCCACCTTCCCCAGGTCTCCATGGCGGAAAGAATGGAGGTGTCAGCGGGGATCAAGTTCAGAGGTGACAACAACCTGCCCGCTGACCTCATCTTCCTGAGGGGCTGAGTCTTGTTTTCTGGCCACCCATGGAACCACGCCCACCACCTCCAGCCTGATCCAGGCCACCGTCAGCTCTAGCTAGCGGCTAGCCGGTCTTAGGACCCACCCACTCCTTATAGCGGCCACCAGGCATCCTCCCTGCCCGGTGACCTGTCCCAGCGTTGCCAGTCACTACACCCCCACCACTCAACCACTCTGGCCTCTGTCACTCCTGGCGTGTGGCTGCTCCTAGGACAGTGGCGTGCCAGCTCCTCCTCCCCCAGGTCCTGTGAGGACCTTGCCGGTACCTGCTCAATTTCCCTTTTTACTGTGGCCACACGGACCTAACCGAATTGACCACTGTCGCCGTCCCGAAGTGCGTGTGTCCCTGGCATCAAGCACAGTCGCGCTGAGTTTCCCGCCCACTGTCCCTCTCCAGAACTTTCCCATCTTCTCAGACCGCAGCTCTCCATCCATTCAGTGACCGCTACCCGCCTCCCCTCCCCGCAGCTCCTGGCAGCCACACCCTGCTCAGTCTGAAATCGCCAGCCCCATCCCCCCGGCCCCTCTTCCCTTTCTCCACTTTTCTGATTTGGTGTGCCACACACACCGCTGTCTGATGCACTGTTTTTTGGTTTTGGTTTTGTTTTTTCCCACCCCAGCACATAAACCCGATTGTCCGATTCTTGGAGGTGTGTCCCCGAGCACTTGCCGCACAGCTTGACACATGCAAGCACTTAGTGACCTGTTTGTCGAGTGACTGAATGACCTAGCCACTGATTTCAGCTCCTGCCTGGATCTAGGGGCTTCCCCCTTGCTCCTTACCCGTCCCCTTTCTGCCATCCCTGTGTCACCCTAGAACTTGCGAGTGCCACAGCCCACACGGTGATTGTCCTGGCCGCCCATGACCTAAGCAGATTTTTTTTTTTTCCATCTTAACAGAAGAAAAAACTTCCCCTTTTCGGGATGACCCTTCAAGTCACGGACACGACGCAGGGCTTTCTCTCTACCTAAAACTTGAAACAGCAGCCTCCAGTTGCCAAAGACCTTAGAAATGAAATGTCAGTAACACAAGAGACCTAGCGAAGACCCAGGAGGAAGAGAGAAAAAGGCCACGGCCGGTCGAGGGATCAAAAGCCTGGACCAGCATGAGGCCGGCTCAGTGTCGTTTGCTGTGTACTGTGGAAGGCTCCTGCGCTGCTGGCCGTGGCCAGAGGGCTGGTGCAGGAGGCAGCCGGAAGCGGGGCGAACCCTGGCTCCAAGCCCAGTGGGCTAGCCTTGGTGAGAAACACTTCTGGCTTCCTAGGCTGAAATTCAAAACAGGCCCATGCGCATTCAGAGACACCCCCCGCCCAGTGGAACAAAAGACAGTGTGTCCACAGGTGCCTGGAACATGTGGGACGCCTGTTCTCAGTCCTGTGCGCAGGGCCCATCCCAGTGCATGAAGACAGCGACTCCCCGGTGGGCCAGGCTGTCTTCCCAAAGCGTCTGCACCTGTTCTGTGATGAGCTGGCAGGTGACCTCAGCGGGGTCTGGCCGACACGGGGCATCCTGACCCCGCAGGAAGTGGGCTCTGGTCCCAGACTGGTCTAGCTCCCGTCTGCCCTAGATTGAGGTGCTCAGCTCAGGACTCCGTGTCCAGACCACCTTTGCGGATCCCTGACTACGTAAGGGGGTCTTTGTGGTGTCTGGAAAACGAGGGGAAGGGAGCGGGGCACAGCCTGCCAGGACCCTCCACCAGCCAGCAGGTGGACGGAAAAGGCGAGGTGCGTGCCCATAGGGGTCCCCATCCCTGGCTGCCCTGATCTGGACAGCCCGCCTGCTCAGACACGCCAAATGTCTGTGAAGGTCCCTCGGCCTCTACATGGCGTATCAGGGAGTGGGGGGTAGGGGTTCTGGGGTCAGGCCTGGGGCTGCAGAGCCCCTGGGATCTCGGGCTGAGCCTCTAACGTCATCACCCATCATGCCGGCTCCCTGGTGGGGGCTGGGCCACAGTCTGGGTGGATGGAGGCTTTTCAGCCAGAGCTCGTGGCTTGGAGGATCAAGTGTGTAAGAGCTGGCACCACGTGGAGGGGGTCTCCCCACGGAGAACCCATCCCGCCTACAGCCCCTCAGAGAACTGCCAGCCCGCTGCTCTCTGGAGCTAGCTGGCTTTAGAGCTTCTCTTTCCTGGGAATACAGGCCGGCCTCCCGGTCAGCTCCCTCTGCCGTCCAAGAGTAAATAGCCAACCTGTTGTGCTGCGTGCTAACTAGACGTACACTGGGTCTTTGCTCATTGGTGTCCTTCAGCAACAACCCTGGGAAGTAGGGTTATTATCCCTGTTGTATACAGGAGGAGACTGAAGCACAGAGAGGGTAAGCAACTTACCTGAGGTCACATAGCCATAAACAGCAGCACTTCTTCCATACTTTGCAGCACAACAGCCACAGGAATAAAGGTGGCGGCTGGACTTTTCCTCCAGGCCGAAGGGGGCATAGTCTGCAGTCCCCGGGCATGCTCTGTATTGGCCATGAGGCTCTGAACAGACACAGGCTTCCTGGCATGGCCTGCCTACATCTAGTACCCTTGTTGTGTTCAACAGAGTGCAGCAGTGCATTGTTACCTCCTGGATGGGGGACTTGCATGATTCTCGGGGTGTATCCTGAACCACAAGCTGCTGCTCCCCAGTCTCCCTGCCTTCATTGCTCAGAGCTGTAGAGTTTTATGTCCTGTTTACCTGATGATGGCTCCAGCAGAACCTGCCAGGTGATGGTCATGCACTGTTGCATGGGTGTGCACTGCTCAACTGAGAGCACTCTTCACAGAGACCATGCAGTGAATGAGCCCTGCCCCCAGAGCTGTGATACACCACCTGCCCCGCTACCTGGATAGCAGATCCATCTTGGGTTCTGATGTGAGCTGGTTCGGATTTTGCCTGCCCTTGAATGGTGTTTTCCAGACAGACTCCATGGTTCTAGGATCATCTTTCTGTGGCTTCCTGGCCAGGTCCCTCAAGGGTGCCCTGCTGTGGAGCTGGCGGGGTTCCATGTGGCCCACACTGGAGCTGGATGGGAACCAGTCCACCTTGAACCTGGCCCTAACTGCAGAGGAATGAAGCAGCCCAGGGCTCACCGCCCCCAGGTGCCAAGCTGGGACTAGTACGCAGGCCTTCACACTTTCCCAGTCCACTTTATTTTCCTTGTTGTTCCATCCCATTCCCGAGTACCATGAGGGCATCCAGAGGGCACCCCACTCTCCTCCTCCTCCTTGGACTTCCTGACAGCACTGAGCAGAGGCTGGCTAATTGCTGGGTTTTGTCCTCTCTCCAGCTCCTCATAGACAAAGTAGAGGGAGGCCGCGAACGCTGGGGCCCCAAGCATCTGGAGTGTGGCTCTAGCCATGACTCATTAGAAAGTCAGGACTGAAGACTTCAGTGTCTTCCAGAGGAGGGCAGGTCAAGGCAGTGCCCCACAAAGGGCCTGCAGGGTTTGTCCAATCAGGGCTTCTCTGGCTTGGGGATAAGTTTGTGGCCCTAGTGCACTTTTTTGCTCATTGGACAATGAGTGTTGATTCTCTTCCCAGCCTGTGTCAGGGACTAGCTGTATGTACAGAGAATCCACAGTCCTTGCCAGAGAGAGCTCTCGGTCTGCTGGGGAAAATGAGTATTATTTGTCATAGGTTGTGGAAATCACCTAGGACCCTTATCATGCACAGTTGTTCAGACTGTGCACTGCTCAACTCTAAGGGCAGACTTCACATAAACCGTGAGATGAGCGAGTTGTAACACACCAGCAGCCCAGCTGTCCGCGGTGGCTCTAATGTCCTTCTGTAGACATCGTATAAGGCTGTAGACTGTCAAGGGAGGACCACAGCCCTGCGGTGGGAGTTGAGGGAGATGGGGCGGCCGGTGCCAATCTGAAAAGGCTTTACCCCAACAAAGATGCTTGCTGGATCTTAGAGAATGAGCGGCAAGTCTCCAGCCGAAGAAGAGGGAAGGGTGTGCCGGGCAGTAGAGAGACCATTTGTCAGCCTTTGGAGGCATGAGACTGGAAGGCAGGCCAAGAGTAGGGGAATGGGGCGACGTAGGAGGCCTGGACGGTCTCCAAGGCAGAGGTTCACGTGGAGGGCAGTGGTAGGCAGAGGGGAAACCTGAGAGCAACTCGGGGGTCGGGGAGAAGGCTGGTGGGGCTAATGACATGCAGCCAGGGGCTTGACTGCCCCGGAGTTTGACCACAGCCATCGTGGCTGGTCCTTTGGGCTGACCCGCCCTCCCAGGGGCCTGCCCACCCAGCCAGGCACATGTTTGCAGATGGATATCCAACAGCAGGGCCTCGGGCACTCGACCCCGGGAGACGGGTCACATCAACAACGTGTATACCCCATTTACACGGAGGCCGATGCTGCCTTCTGCTGGGGTTTCTGCCTTTTGGGATAGTTTATAGGCTCTATTTCTGGACCATCCCTCACAGCCAAGAGGACATGGTGGGGGGCAGGGAGGTGGGGGCAAGTGCCATCTCTGTTTGCTGTCACAGATAGCTGGATGCCCACTCCCCATACCCAGCAAGTACCCGTTCATGGCAATCTGGTGACCGGTGTGGGGTGGGGGAACATGCTTCCGAGGCTCTTTCTCAGTGTACAGGGGTCCCCAAGAAGGAGCCAGGCCAGACCAGTGATTGCCACTTTCTGAGGTTATGATAATTTGCTGTTGTCCCCGAGCAATTAGAGATTTCATGTGTGCGGGCAGTTTGCAAATTGGGTGTGGGACAGACAGGGACAGAGATGTGATCTGAAAGCGGAAGAGCCGGAGGGAGATTGAAGCGTGTGTGGGTCTGGCTGAGCGGAGCGTCCGGGGAGAAGCTCGCCACCTCGCTGATGACCGCTCTAGCGGCTTCTTTGAGGTCAGGTGCACTGATGGAGCGCCTGGCGGCTCGGTCGGTTGAGCCTCTGCCTTCAGGCCTGGGATCGAGCCCCGCATTGGGCTCCCTGCTCAGCGGCGAGCCTGCTTCTCTTCCTCCCCCTTTGTTGAAAAATAAATAAAATCTTTTAAAAACTATATTTAAAAAATTAAGTAAGGCCCATTGAGGGATGATTTACATATAGTAAAAGTCACCCCTCTTAGGGTATGATTCTTGGAGTTTGGACACACGTATGTGCTCTTATAAACCACCAGCATAACCAAGATACCGAGCATTACTGTCACCCCAGAAAGTTCTCCGATGCCCTTCTAAAGTGGACCCCAACCCAGCCCCTAGCACCCGTGGCTCCCTTCTCTGTCCCTAGCCTTGCATCTCTCCCAGAATGTCCTTGAAATGGAATCAGGGAACGTGTCTGATTTGAGTCTTGCTTTAACTTCGGCAAAACACACTCGCGATCCACCCATGTTACTGTGCGAACCGGTAATTTACCCCTTGGGTTGCTGACCGGTGTCCGTGGGACCAATGAGGGGACCTCCAGCTGAGGGACCAACACTGGACGTGTTCCCAGTTTGGGGCGAGCACAAAGGAAGGCCGTAAACACCTGCACGCGGGTCTCGGCGTGGTCCTGGGCGTTCCTGGGTGTTCGGTTCTCCGGTGGTCCTCCAAGCGCGGGGTTTCCGAGTCACATGGTCTCTGTGTGTTTCCCTTCAGGAGAAGCTGCCACCTCCTCCCAGGGGCTGTGCCTTTTTGCATTCCCGTTCCTTGTGAAAAATTTCAAGGACGAAGCACACAGGGCACCAGGAAGGTTGTGTGGCTGGGCTCTGGTGCTGCAGGGCCCTGACCGGAGGTGCGCCAGCCCCATCTCCCTCCACCCTCCTGCCCTACAGCCCTGCATCCCCTTCAGGATTGTCTTCCCTTTGAATCTTTGTAGAAGTGCTGTTTGGGCCCCTGCGGGGTTCTTGGTTGGTCCTCTTTCTGGTAGGGCTTCCCCTGATGGATGCGTTTTACACGTTGGGCACGGAGACTGTGCCGGGCCTCGCGCTCGAGAGCCCGAGTGACGCCAGATAAATGACCACAGGCTGTTTCCTGCTCGCCGCTGTTCATGCCGCTCCGTCTCTCCCTGCAAGTGTTCTGGGGGCCATTCTAGCTGGAGCAGGGACAGGGAGACAGGCAGTGAGGGGCGGTGGCCACCCCCCAACCTGGCCGCAGAAAGCCACTGAGCCCCCCATGTCTGCCGGGCACTAAGAATGAACTTGGGGACAAGATACAGAGGGACAGAGTGAGTGGCAGCCCCGGCCTTGGGAAACCGATGGTCTTGTTTGGGGCAGAAAGGGCAACGTACACATACACCCCAGGCTAAGCCAGCATCACCAAAGATGCCGGGGACAATCCAGGGATCCATGCCGCTGCCCCCCACCCCAGCCACACAGGTGGCCACGCCTCGTTCTTGGGCATGGAAGAGAAGTACCTAAAGCCTGGGCTGTTGGTCAGATGACTTGACTTAGGTCTTAAATGACCATGGGGACTCTCGAGTTGGTGAGGAGAGGGGCTGGGACTCACAGGTGTGGGGGGCCTGGGGTGGGCCGCAGCAGAGGCCCAGAAGTCGGGGTGTGGGGCGCCTACAGAAAAGACAGTTCTCCTCCCAGGTCCCTGCCATTCGTCCTTCAGCTGCTGCTTCCACGGGGAAAAGTGGGATCGAGGACCCCTGACCTGTATGGGGACCTAGAGGCTGGCCGGCTCAGGGGTCCACAGAGGTTGGTGGGGGCGGTGCAGAGGGGACGACCAGCCTCTCTGAGACCTCCGGAGTCAGAACTGGAGGGTAGCAGAGGGGAAGATACACAACTCACTGCAGGTCACGTGGCAGCCTCGGGTCAGAGCTCTGGGTAAACCAAGTCCTCTCCCACAGGGTCCCAGGGTCCTGCCAGGTCCGAAGTGGGACTAACGGTGATATTCTCTGTCTGTCCACCGTCCAGGTGCAAGTTCTTCAGTCTGACTGAGACGCCGGAGGATTACACCATCATTGTTGACGAGGAGGGGTTCCTAGGTAAGTGCTTCTGTCACCCCAGACATTTTTTTTTTTTTTTTGGTTATACTATTTTTTTTTCATTTATTTTTAGCGTAACAGTATTCATTGTTTTTGCACCACACCCAATGCTCCATGCAGTCCGTGCCCTCTCCAATACCCACCACCTGGTTCCCCCAACCTCCCACCCCCTGCCCCTTCAGACCCCTCAGATTGTTTTTCAGAGTCCATAGTCTCTCATGGTTCACCTCCCCTTCCAATTTCCCTCAACGCCCTTCTCCTCTCCATCTCCCCTTGTCCTCCATGCTCTTTGTTATGCTCCACAAGTAAGTGAAACCATATGATAATTGACTCTCTCTGCTTGACTTATTTCACTCTGCATAATCTCTTCCAGTCCCGTCCATGCTGATACAAAAGTACCCCAGACATTTCTGCTCCCGCCCGCCGCCTTATTTCTCCCTCCTCCCCACCCGCCACCTTATTTTTGCCTCCGTCTCCTTCTGGCGAGTGGGTTAGAAAGTCAGCACAGAGTCTGTTTTCTTCTCTCCCTGTGCCGTGGCTGGTCCCCTTCCTTTCCGCTGATGAAACTGCCCCAGGAAAGGCCCCAGAGCTAAAAGGGTCAGTAAGACAGCGTGCTTACCCAGCTGGAACTACAGGCTATGGAGAAAGTAGCTACAACCCAGGGCTTGTTTCACTGAGCTCCCACCGCTGAGTGAGAGGCTGTCGGTCCTCAGTCCCTGGTTCCCGGTCAGGGCTCCCGTGAGCCTTGCTGCTCTTCCTGCCTTCGCGTGTGTCCGTTTTCAAGGCTGAAATACAATTCACGTAGCAAACATGCGCCCTTTTAAAGTGTCCGGTTCAGCGGTCTGTGATGTGCACGGGGTTGTGTGGCCACGCCCTCCAACATCTTCCCTCCCCCCAAAACAGCCTCATCTCCGTTGACATCACTCCCCATCCCCCTTCTCCGCCGTGTCCCCTCGTAGGTTTATTATGTTGGTCCTGGTCTAACGCGACAGCAAGCGTCCGTTTGCGCTGCCCGCTGCCCACTCACTTATGAGAACGGGGTGTGTTCACGTCCCGCCGGCGTGGAGCTGCGAGCGGAGGGGAGGTCAGGTGACCAGGCCCACAGCCACGGAGCGGGGCTCCCCCCAGAGCCGGCATTCCCTCCGAGCCCCCCAGTTCCGTTCTGGAAAGCCCTGAGTCCACATTTTTATAAAAACCTCATTCCACCCCAAAGGCAACTCCTAGTCACTCTTTCGTGTTTCTCTTTCCAATTGTACGGGGCACGAGTTGTCTCTTTTTAATCCGCATGCCGTCCTGTCCCAGAGAGAAGTGCTTGTCCCTGACACCGTGAAGTAACGTTTCCTGTGATGTCGCGGCCTCTCGCGGTCCACGCCGTGGTGGATGTGGCCCGTCTCCTTGCCCAGTCCCCTGCACTTAGAATCCAAGTGGGCATTCATGGTTCTCCAGGGATAAATTTTTGACCTTTATTCTCTCCGGCTAATTCCTAAAACGGGGTCTGAGACCTGGAGTTACGGGGTCGGAAGCTGGCTTGTGTGGTTCTTAGCGCAGGTGGAGGGGGGCTGCCTTTTCAGACCATCCCCGCTGGTGAACAAGGGGAGCCTTGGAAGAATTGACTTCACCCCTACGCTCTGTCGTCCTTACGCGCCCCTACCCCATCATCGAAGATGTCTCTCTGGTCCGTCATTTCATCCATGCCCAGACCTTTTGGGAGCCTAGGACCCATAAACAGGAACTTTTGCCCTAACCACAAAGCACGGTCCCGTGAAGAATGTACACTTGGACAACCCAAACCCATCTCCATCTTTGTGTGGATCCTGCCGAGAAGCACGGCACTTCGGGCGCAGAAGGATTGCCCCAGGATGTCTCTGCTCTAGGAGCAGATACCCTCATGGCTCCGTCTCCCCAGACGAGACAAGCTCGCTCCATCTCAAGGCCACAAACGAGCAAATGCCGCGACCAGGGACAGAGGAAGGCTGTGGCCGCAGGACCCAGGGGGCCGGTTTTGCAGGCCCTGGAAACCCACGTTTGTAGGAATCCTCAGTCCCCTGGGAGGCATCGCGCAGGTGAATGGCTGCCTGTCCCCAGCCAGCACCGCCTGACCCCCCAGGGTTGCAGGAGGCAGCACTGACAGAGCCCCGCTGACCCCATGAGCCTCGGGGTCTGCCAGCCAGCGACGCGGTCAGTCGTGGTTGCGGTGGGTGCTGTGCGGGAGACCCCATAGGAGGGACCCTTGCAAGAGTAAGCAACCCAGCAGAGTGGGTCCGTGAGGGGCCTGAATTGACCTATTCCGACTTCCCTCCCTGCCCCAGCGGGGCTTCTGGCTGTGGACACTGTGGTAGATAAGCCCTGGGAAAGACTCTTGCTAACTGCATTTTATAGACAAGGAACCTAAAGTGCAGAAAAGGCTGTCGCACGGCTGGTGTCCTCTCCGGATGCCTCCAGGGGCCGGGCCCGAGGCCGGGGAGAGCAGAAGTGCAGGAATCTGGCCTTTGCCCCCCAGGGAGGCTCTGGGAGGACAGAAACACAGGAACCAGAATTACGATATCAATAGAGAGTGGCACCCAACTGGCTGGCAGAAGTGCAGTCCAGGAGGACTCCCCAGAGGAGGCAGTGCTTGAGGCAAACCCAACTAAATGACTAATGAGCCCACCCGGTGAAACCTGTGACACTGGGAGTGGGGAGGCTTCTAGAATGGGGGGTCGCTGGGCATGCAGGGGAGAAGACAGAGCAGGACGAGATGGGACGAGGGAGGCCAGGAGAGACAGAGGCAAGGGGGAGCCAGTGAAGGGTCTTATCTGACCTTGAAGGGCTTGCCTGGAGGAGAGCAGAGTAAGGAGGCTGGCACAGTGAGGACAGAGCAGGAATCAAGAAAGATTCGAAATCTGAATTTACCTGGGACTTTTTCCTGAGCTGCACCGCTAACCAGTGGGGAGCCTCACACTGTATTTAAGTCTGGAAGAACTGGTGAGCTTTCAGCATGTCCCTTTCTGGGAACTCGGAAGAGGAGACTTTGGGGGAGCTTAGGTAGTCAGGGAAGGCTTCCTGGAGGAGGCCGTTTTTGCTGCCCTTGAAGGGCTAAGGAGGGAGAGAGCATGTCAGGTGGGGGTGTATGAGTAAGTCTGGAAGCAGAACCAGAGACCAGGTTCAAAAAGTAGATGGAAAGACAGGTTCAGGTTTAAAAAAGAGTGAGCAGGGTCCATTTGGACCTTGTTCTGCAGGCAGTAGGGAGCCATTGAAGGTTGTTGAGCGGGAGAGAGTTGTCACTGAGGCTGGACTCAGGAAGAGGCACCTGGGGTGAGTATGCGGGAGGGGAGAGAGTGTGACGTGGGGTCCTCCCTAGAGGGCAAATAAGCAGGCTTTGTCCGAAGTGAGATCTTCAGGCCCAGGCTGAGACCCTGACTGACCCAGGGAGGGAATTACCCACAATCTTGAAACCCCGACTTTCCCTGGAGCCGTTATTAATCACTTGGCCTCTCCCCAGACCTCTTCTGGTGGCCAGAGCAGTAATAGTGTCTTCAGTGTGGGGAAGGGGGCTCCGGGAGGGGGAGAAAAACCCGTGTAAATGATTCACCCAGCAGGGGCTGAGAGGAGGGGTCCGCTACCCTGCGACTGCTGCGTAGGGGGTCTCACTTCCAGGCCACGATTCCCGGTCGGCACTCGGGGCTGAACCGTGTACGATTACCGGAGCGCAGTGTCTCTCACACGCGAGCTGGTCCAGCGGCAGGGGGAGGATGTCGTCCAGAAGCGACTCCTGGCCTCCCCGTTAGCGCGGACGGGAAGACCCAGGTTCAGATCCTGCCCTGCCACCTGCACGGCTTGTGGTTCTGGCCAGCTGCCCAGCTCCCCGGGGCCTCCCCCTGAACACAGGAGCGCCTGTCCCTTCTGCAGGGCACCCATGTGGCCGTGGGATGCGCATGCGCTCGAGAGGTGTCGCTCTGTCGTGGATGAACCAGGGTTCCTCTGCCCGGCCCCGTCGCTGGAGTTTCGGGAGCACCCGGCGTTTGGGGGTCGCACGCTGGCCTGCGGCGTTGGTCTCTGCCACGCGTGTCAGCACCTCCTTTGCAGTGAAACTGCTCATTTGTACCCCTCCGGCTGTGCGTCGCCCAGCTGCCATCGAGAATCCGGCATCAGCGTGCGAACGGAAGAGGCGCTGGTGCTCGGGAAGCACTCAGACGCCAGGCACTCGGCTAAGCACTTGGTGTGGGGATTATCTCATTTAATCCCAGAAGCATCTTCTGGAGCCCATCCCGATTTCCTCCTTCTGCGTTTGCAGCTAAGAAACTGAGGGGCGTTGACGTTGCCCAGAGTCAAGGCAGGATTAAACACCTCCCCCTCCGCCTGACCCCAGGGCCCTTGACCCTGCTGCGCGCAGAGCAGGAGAAGCCCGAGAAACACAGGCTGGGTGGGGCACACACAGCCGTGTCACGCAGGGACACGCAGGTCCTGCAGCCGGAACAGGGGAGGCCCGGGGCAGGGGGGTGGGTACCATGAGGAGGGCAGGGGGAGGGCTCTGCCCAGCTGCAGAGCTACCCCAGTCTGTGGCTGGGGGGTGACAAGACACCGTTAACCTCCACCACCACAAAGTGTATGCGGCTCCCAGAGGCTATTTGTAAGGGCCTATGCTGTGTGCGGTGACAGAAACAACCCACCTTAGTCTTGGAATGGGTCCACTTTTCCTCTAGGGACGGGCAGGCTCGCGGTCTCCTGGTCAGCCTCCTGGAGCTCATCCCCACAGCCCCAAAAATGGCACCTCGTCCCCCCGAGGCTTGGCCCAGGGTGAGGATGGGCCCCAGACAGGCCCTCCCTCCCCGCCGCCCCGGTATTGCAGATCCCAGGGGCCAGAAGCAGCGAACACTGTGGCTTCCAGCTGCCTTTGCTCCTCTGATGAAACTCACACTTCTGAGAGGATCCGAGGGGTGACCGCTGGTCCGAGCTGACTACCGTCCGTGGGTCCTACCCAGGGCCGAGAGCCAGGAGTGGCTGGCCCCGAGGCCTGGAGCAGGGCGGGCAGACCCATCCCGGCCCACCCGCTCGCTGCCCAGACTGGCCAGCAGTTGGACAGCCCTGAAGTCCTCTGTCCCCCGCCCCCTCAGCCCCCCCCCCATCCCACATCCCCATGCTCAGCTGGCTCCAGGCCTGGGCTTCTCCCTGGGACGCATCCAAACCCACCAAGAAACTCCCCAGAGCAGAGCCGTGTCTGCACCAGTGCCCCTTAAAAATGCACACACCCCAGCACTTCGCTGACTGAGGGGGACACGCCTTCCCCACTGGACCGGCCACAGCTTCCTGGCAGCCTCCGCCAGGGTGGCTGGAGCCCGGACTGGAGTCTGTCGCTGTCCCAGCCTGAAGCGGGTGTACTTTGCCCTCCGCCTCCCTGAGCTCACAGGACCCCACGGCCTACTCTGCCCAGCGGGGGCGGGGCTGACTTTACACAGCCCGTTGCGCATCCGTAAGCTGATGGGCAGCGAATGCCCTGTCCCCACTGGTGGGCTGGGGCTGGGAATGGCACTTGCTCCCCACTGGGGCCCCATGGCCCAATCCTGGGGGGTGGGGTATGGGAGCAAGGGATGATGGTGAAGGCCACCCCCCAACCTCGGGCCTGGCAGGGTGACCGAGCCCCGACAGGAGCGGGGAAGGCAGGTGGGTGGGAATGTGGGGCCCGGACAGAGCACAGAGGCAGGGCCGGCTGCCCCCCACCAGCCCTCGTCCTCATCTCGCACCCCTGCGCGCCACGTGCTGAGCATAGACGAGGCCATCGCCCCACACGGTAGCCGCGCACCACGTGCACTTCTCAGAAGCAAAATGAATCAAAGTGAAATAAAACATACGATCTTTTCTGTTGCATTAGCCATGTTCTTGTCACTCTGAAGCCACAGTGAGCGGCTACGGTCTGGGGGCAGTGCGGGTGTAGACAGATCCCTCCCTTTCTCCGCACAGAGCTCTCTGGGGAAAGGGACTTGGGCTCTTCTCCGAAGGATGCGGGAAGCCGCTGGGTGGTTTGGGGTCGCGAGGAACCTGGCAGCGGCGGGCAGAGGGCCAGTTCGCAAATGCCGGTGTGGTCTCTTGTTAATACGCAGCGACTTAAGACATAACTGACCCTCCCAGGGTTTTCCCGAGAGGGCTGAGGGGTTCTGCCCTAAGGGAAAGGGGAGTTTTCAAGCGTCCAGCGTTAAATACGTTAAAATGATGGCCGCCGTCGGGGCTGCGTGGCTCACACCCAGCCCCAGGGAAGCCCTGGGCTGAGCGTTGAGCAAGGCTGGACCGTCAGGATGCCCCGGCCCTCAGCGGCTCTTGGGGCTGTCCCTGAAATAGATGGCGGGATTGGGGGGCTCGCGGCGTTCTCCCCAGGTCCAGGCCCCTTAGAATTTCAGAATCGAGCCGCTGTTTCTGGGGAGTTTTCCTGTGGCCGTCAGACTATTTCTCTTCCAACACCCACGTAACAGTTAGACTGGACGCCAAAGCCCGAAGCCCAGGGCCCCTTAAACGCCTTTCCTCCCACTCTTCCTCCCAAAGCTTTCCCCTTTCCTGGGAAGCCGCCTGCCTCTCCAGCAGGCCTGGCCAAGACGGCCCCTTCTCAGCCAGCGGGACCGGTGGGCACACCAGGCTGTGGTTACCGTGCGAGTGGTGACCCCTGAGGCACGTGCACACGCGTGTACCCATGTCCCGTGGGCAGGCCCCCCTGGGCGCGCTCTCTGCGGGACCAGGCAGAGTCATGAGCATTTGGATTCCGGGGGTTTGTGAGCTGGTCGAGGAGACAGTGATTGTTGCCACTCGGACCCTCCTCCACCTGCCCCTGCCCGCGCCAACCCCAGGATCCCTGAGCTCTCTGGGGGAGGGACTTGGGTGACAATCACTGTTGCCAAAAGATGGCGTCCTTTGGAGCCTCCCGGAGCTGTGTGTTCTTCCAGAACGCAGGGCTGAGAAAAGCAGGGAGAGAAATCCCAGGGCTGCCCCCACCCTGTCGTCTGGCTTCCCCTCCACCCCAGCTCCTGGGAGGTTCCCGGGAACCAGTATGAAAACCGGGAGGAAGGAGATGCGGGGCTGCCTGGCTGGCTCAGTTAGGCGTCCGACTCTTGGTTTCGGCTCAGGTCCTGGTCTCAGGGTCGTGGGATCGAGCCCTGCGTGGGACTCCACGCGTAGCAGGGAGTCTGCGCGAGGTTCTCTCTCCCCCTGCTCCCCGACCCCTGTGCACACGCTCGTTCACTCTCTCTCTCAAAGAAATAAGTACATCTTAAAAAAAAAAAAAAAACCACCAGGGGCCTGTTCCACCCATTTGAGGGCAGCAGCATAGTGGGACCTGGAGGTAAGATCATTACTCGCTGCTGGACGCCCATCATTCCATGCGTGGGACAGTGGAAGCCAAACACAGATGAGCCACTTGTCACCCCGGCTCCCGCCCTGCCCAGCGGTCGGCACGTCTGAGGTCCTCTGAGGGCCTTCCCTGCTCGGTCCTCCCAGGCTGGGACCTCTGATTCCATTCTGCTCCGACAGACAAGGGAAGCGAGGCCCGATGGCAGGGACTGGCGGGCGGCCAGCCCTGTCCCCTGCCCGGAGGACCCATCGTAGTCACAGGCCCGCCTTCCATGTGTCGTCCCCTTCCTCCCCATGCAGAGCTGCCCTCCTCGGAGCACCTGAGCGTGGCAGACGCCACCTGGCTGGCCTTGAACGTGGTGTCGGGCGGGGGCGGCTTCTCCAGCTCGCAGCCCATCGGCGTCACCAAGATCGCCAAGTCGGTCATCGCCCCGCTGGCGGACCAGAACATCTCCGTGTTCATGCTCTCCACCTACCAGACGGACTTCATCCTGGTGAGCCGGGGCCGCCCTGGGGCCTTGGTGGCATTGTCTACAGGGCTTTGTGCCCCCACCCCGTTGCATGGTCAGCTCAGAGAAAGGTCAAGGGTACCTCAGGGTCATGGCTCAAGGGTCAGCAGGGCCCCGGGTGGGACCGCGGGGCTCCGTTCAGCCCCATACACCAAGTGCTTGTTGTAGACCATGCTGGCTTGGACCTGGAGCCTGGGCTCTGAGGGCACACGAGGGTGGGGATGGCAAGAGTGTCTGCTCACAGGCCGCAATGGTTCTAGACTCCCATCCCCCACGAGCATGGCGGGAGGGATGGAGGAAGCTGGTTCGGGTAACAGAATCTCAGAGTGAAGGGAGGTGCCCCCCAGAGACCACGGGATACCAACATCCTTGACTCCCCGTCCGTAGGTGCGTGAACGGGACCTGCCCTTTGTCACTCACACCTTGTCATCAGAGTTCACCATCCTGCGGGTCGTCAACGGTGAGACAGTAGCTGCTGAGAACCTTGGCATCACCAATGGCTTCGTGAAGCCCAAGATGGGTGAGTTGAGGAGGCTCTGCCGGGGAGACCTCGAGAAGTCCCCAGGGCCTACCCTAGAGCAGCCCCGTTCTCAGAACATTCACAAAGCACCAAGTGTAACACAGGGTCAGACCCTGCTCTCAAGGTCTGGCAAAGACGGGAAGGGGACACAGCTGGCGATGTCCAGAGGCCACTCCTCACACATCCAGGGTATCAAGATGGGCTTCCCAGAGGCAGCGACTCTCGAACTGAAGGTTGGAGCCCAAGTAGGAGCTCAGCCAAGTGGTAGAGGTTAGCAAGGGCATTCATTCCAGGCAGCCAGCAAGGCATGTGCAAAGGCCCAGGGGTCTGGCAGTGAGCCAGAGAATCAGGAGAGCCGTGAGTGAATGTATTGGAGGCTGGAGAAGGCACAGGGGCCAGGTCCCCCAGAGCAGCTGCCGGCTCACCCTGCCTCTTGTCCTGGGCCCTCCTCCTGCCCCGTGCCACTCCTCCTCCCAACCTCAGCGCCCACTGTCTTTGCTCTCACAGTCCAGAGGCCTGTCATCCATCCTCTGTCCAGCCCAAGCAACAGGTTCTGTGTCACCAGCCTGGACCCTGACACGCTGCCTGCGGTGGCCACACTTCTCATGGATGTCATGTTCTACTCCAATGGGTATGGCCACCCCCTTGGACGGGAGAGGCTGCAGGGCAGGCCAGGGAGGCCAAGGGGACACAGCTCTGCCTGGGAGCCCCGGTCTGAGTGGGGAGACACCGAGCTACCACCTGTCCTGGAATCTGGTCTGGGGCAGGGGGGTCATGACTGCACCCCAAAGCCATGCTCTGATTAGGGGAGACATCCTTCCTCGGGAACCCCAAAGCATGGTGAAGCCCCAGGGGCACATGTCCACGGATTCCACCCCCACTCACCATCCCTGGAGCTCTAGTGGCAAGCCCGGTCTGTAGGGGCGCCAGGAGCCCAGGGCTTTTCTGTTTGGTAGACAGTAGGCTTTGTTGCCTTTTTTTTCTCGGATTTTAGTGGGGTGGGACCAGGGACCAGCGAGCTGGCAGTGACCACAGACTGTGTCCCGAGATGTGGGTCAGCACAGGGACAGAAACCCTGTCCAGGAAGGAGCGGGGGTGGTCTGCAGCGAGGGCCAGTTGGGTCTTGGGCTCCGGGAAGTATGGTGCTCGCCTCCATGAACGCCGCAGACTCATCCGCCTCAGGTGGGGAGACTGAGGCTGTGGCCGGAGGTTCAGGGTCAGGATTAGGGCCAGGACTTGGCCCCAGCTCTCCCAGGCCAGTGGGCAGGCGAGCGGACCAGGTGGGGATCTGGGTGTGGTCAGGTTCCACTGTCCCCCTCACCACCCCACCCCCCGGCCCCCAGAGTGAAGGACCCCATGGCTACCGGGGAGGACTGTGGCCACATCCGCTTCTTCTCCTTCTCCCTCATTGAGGGCTACATCTCCCTGGTGATGGACGTGCAGACCCAGCAGAGGTGAGTGGCCCTTCTTACTTACCGACGACAGGCAGCTCAGAGAGGTGATGGCCTGGGGTCCCTTGGCCTCCTCTCTGGGGCTGGCAGTGGGGGAGGGGCAGAGTTCCGAAACACACTCCCAGCCCTGCCTTCCCGTTCCCCCAGACGAGGGGGGTGCTCAGGCAGGGCCTCGAGACCCCTGATCGTCCCGAGGGCAGCCACAGCTCCAACCAAGGGACCGCGACCGACATCAGCCTCTTGGGTTTCTCCCTTTCTCTCCTTGTTAAGGTTCCCTAGTAATCTGTTGTTCACGAGCGCGTCTGGAGAGCTCTGGAAGATGGTGCGGATCGGAGGACAGCCCCTGGGATTTGGTGAGCCCCGGGGGGTGTTGCACCAGCGGGCGGGGGTCCTAGCATCTCCGCGCGCATTCCATCCAGGCTCACTCATCCTGCGGTGCAGCTGGGGGGACTGAGGCTGGGGGAGCCGGAGTCCGTGGCCCTTGACCAGCGAGTGACAGAAGGCACAGGGCTCCAGACCAGAGGGCAGGAGGAGCGCCTTCAGCCAAAGCAGTCGTACCTCTCCCGGCCTTGGAGAGCGCCTTCCTGCTGCCTGTTAGCACGCCAGGGGCCAGAGACAAACAGAAAGGGAAGGGCAGCCCGGGAGGCTCAGGCAGCTAAGCTAACGACTCTTGACCTTAGCTCAGGTCCGGGTCTCAGGGTCATGAGTTCGGGCCCTGCTTCTGGGCTCTGTGCTGGGCGTGGAGTCTGCAGTGGAGAAGGGAAAAAGTCACCTGTGAGTCCCAGCTGCTCCCAGGCCGTGACCGAGGTTCTGATGACGGTCCTTCACGTAAATAAATGCCATTGCAGTCAGACTCGAACACCCCAGCACTCACCCCGAAATACCTCACCGTTCCTGTCCCAGGAAGGAGCCGCTTCTCCGCAACGACGAGCTGACCCTCCCTACACAGGACCTCTGTTGAGAGTCCCTGAGAGTCTCGAGCCTCAGTTTCCACAGCTGCCCGAGCAGCCCCGTTGGGGGCGAGTTCTGTCCACAAGCGTGTTCAGGGGGCCGTGGGGCTCAGGGTCCTCGGGGTTAGCAGGCCTGTGGGGCACCGATTCGCGCGGGGCCGGGTGGAGGCCGCCAGCCCACTGTCAGGGATGCACCGATCAGAAATGATTTCCTGCAGCTAGACCCGTTAGACCCCAGAGCTGCAACCCAGGACAGGCTCTCAGTTGTCTCCGGGAAACGTCGTCCACAGACCCAGGTGGGATCGGTGAACCCTGAGTTCCCACAGACAGAGTGAAGGACCTTCCTGATGAAGCCCAGACTGCTCCAGGGGCCATCACGTCGGCCCTCGGACGCCCGTTCCTAGAACAGGAGACGGAGGTGGCAACGTATGTTGACCTGGGGGTGGAGGGGCAGTGAGGGAGCCAGGTTCTGCCTCCCGCCTCACCTGCCTGTGGACGCGCTTGCAGGTGATGGTCACTAGCAGGACAGGACGGGTCCCCCTGACTCTGCTCACGTCAAGGCCAAAGCCAGAGCCGTCCTGGGGGCAGAACAGCAGGCTGCTCTGTGGAGTGCTAAGAAGTGTACACTGAAGGCTCCTGGCCCAACCCTGGCGACCAGTCTCCCTCTCGGCGCGGGGGTGGGGGGCTCCTTCGCCACAGACCCTAACATTTCTCCCGCCCACACTGGCTGCCTGGTGCCGGGTTGTGGGGATTGAGCACTGGAACAACTCCTCATCAAGGAGGTTGTTAGAAACAAGCATGGCCGCAGGCAGGTTCCCTAATACGCCATCCTAATGAGGAGGATGGTGGATCCCTCCCCTGGGTGGGGAGCACCCGTGCGTGTCTGTTGTACCGGCTGCTCTGCTGTCAGCGCCACATGTAAGGTCCAAGTGGCCCAGGAGGAGGCTCCCCAGAGAAGGTGACGGGGGGGGCTTTGGTGGGGAGGGGAGGTAGGACGCAGCAGCACCTGTCTGAGGGACCCACGTCGCTCCAGGTGGCCGTGCCCGGGGAGCAGGCTCCAAAGGTAGGCAGGGTAGAAGAACCCAGCCAGGTCAGCACAGGCAGAGGGACGGAGTCCTGATGCTGGACTGAGGGGTCTGCTGCCATGTCTTCCTGTAGGCAGTGGGGAGCAGCTGAGCTCCTGCCGGCGGGGGAGCAGCTGGGGGGCGACCAGGAGCCTGAGTCCTTCAGAGGACTGCCTGCAAGACCGTCACGGAACGTGATGACGTGTCCAGACGTGTTGCCGGTGGTGCTGGCCTCCCGGCCGACAGCTAAAACTGCCCTCGCAGGGCGGCGCGGGGTCTGAGCCACCCTGACAGCCGGCAAGACCCTGCCAGGGAAGCAGCTCACCGAGAATCTGAAGGGTTCCAGACTGGCAGGTTCCGCATGCTTGTTAGCGTGCTTTGGGGTAAACGCAGCTTCCCCCCCGAACCCAACGTGCCTGGTGCAGGTGGCTCCGTCCTCGCCCCGGCTCTGTGCTGTGCGCACCCTCGGGGCTTCCCCTTGGCCATCCCTGTCGTTCTGCAAAGTGCGGGTCACCGGCCTTCCAAACTGACGTGACACGGGGGTTCCAAACCCGCAGTTGGGAAAGCATCGTTCTCGACTCCCGTCTCCAACCCCCATTTCTGTCGGAGTAGTTGTGTCGGTAGCAAAAGGATTTGGGGAGACTACGCGTCCCCACCACACGGTGGCACAGACAGTCACCAGATGCCGGGCTCGCCCAGCCACCAAGCACCTGTGTGTCCAGCCGGGAGCCCCAGCAGACCGAGCGGAAAGCAGGAGCCCAGAGTCACCGCACAGGTCCAGGGCTGGGCCAGGGAGTGAAGGAGCAGAGGGGAGGCTGGAAGGGATGGCAGTGGGGTGTCATAGGCGTGGAGCCCGGGTCGGTTCCCAGGCTCCAGCCTCAGAATCACACGGAGAGCTGGTGACCCGATCTGGACTCTCCCACCCAGTTGGGAAAAGGCATCGTCGTCAAAATCGGAATAATGGATTTGGGGGAAACCACCTGAAAGCTTGGAAGGGGCTGTGTTGGTGGCAGAGTGGTCCTCAGACCCTGGAGGTCTTCCTGGAGGAGGAAGCTTTGAGTGGTGCCTTCAAATCAGGCAGGGAGCCGGGGGTGAGGAGGGGATACACCCCCGCTTTGGAGGTCTAGAGGGAGGTAGAAGCCCCATTCCCCGTGGGGACTCTGGGGAGGAACCCCGTGCTCACAGAGAGGAAGTGACTTGACCATGGTCTTCTGGCTAGAAAAAGAGAGGGCGACAGAAAAGAGGGCCTGAACCCACGTCCTCCCTTCGGCCACACCGCGTCTTGTTCTGTCGCGGAGAACTCGCGAGGTGGTAGGGACGGGGAGCAGGGGAGCAGACAGAGAGCTCAGCTCTGTGGAGCCCTGCGGACGACGGGGCGGGGTGGGAGGGTCAGAGAAGGCTCCTGGGTGTGGGGGCCAGAGCACCAGGGAATCCTGGCGTGGCATCAGGGAACCCGCGTGGCAGGAGGCCGGGGTCGGAGGGAGGCTGGCTGAGCGTCATCCCCGCCTCTGTCCCCAGATGAGTGTGGCATCGTGGCGCAGATCTCCGAGCCCCTGGCCGCCGCAGACATCCCCGCCTACTACATCAGTACCTTCAAGTTCGACCACGCGCTGGTGAGTGTCCCGCACCGGCCCCCGGGCAGGGGACGCCAGTGCGGGGCTCACGGCTCTTGCCTCCCCGCCCCCTCGCAGGTGCCGGAGGAGAACATCAGCGCCGTCATCAGCGCCCTGAAAGTCAGCCAAGCAGAGAAGCACTAGGGGGGCCTCCTCCCTCCTCCCTGTCTGCCCCCCAGGCCTGGGCCCGGCCCCCACCCTGAAGATTCTTCTTGCAGTATTTCTCAGACTGGAAAATCGGCCCCAGGGGCCCCCAAGAAGGGGCCTCTGGGAGACGCCCCCAATCGCTTCCCCTGCCAGGCCTGGGGCGCCCAAGCCAAGGCCTCCCTGTGCCCTTCCTGGAGCCCTCAGACCCTCCAGAGAGCCCCTAGTCTCCTCCTCCCCCCGACTCCTCCTCCAGAAAATGACGTCCGAGGCCCAGGGAGCTCGGCAGCCCACCCACCTTCCCACCTGGCCTCGCCCACGGGGGGGGGCGGGTGCTGAAGGAAGCCGGGCCCTCCTGCGAGATGATGGGGTTCTGGTTCTCATGTCATCCTGGGGAGCTGGCCGAGCAGGGCTGAGTTCATGGAGCCCAGGGAGGCCCCCGTGAGGCCCTGGGGCTGGATGTTGTAGTCGCTGGTCTCTGGTTCCATCAGCTCCGGGCTGGTTCCCGCAGAGTGGAGGCCAGTGGGCGGCCCCTGGGTCGCGTGCTGGGGCAGCTCGGACAAACCTGGGTGGGCCCCGAGCTGGGGAGGACCCGTGCCGCCCAGAATCTCGCCTGCCGTGCACAGGGCCTGTGCCCCGACTCCCAGCAAGACTGCCAAGGGGGCCCTGTCCAGACCCTCCCCACCGTAAGCACTCGCTCCTGGGGGCGGTTCCCGGGAGACCCACCAGCCTGGGGCATGAGCGCCTGTCCCCTCTTGCTTTCCCTGGACCCTACCTGGGCAGGCAGAGCCTTGGTTTCCCCCAAGTGGGGGCATCCCCAGCATTCAGGACCTGAGGTTTCTTGGGTCACCCCCACTCCCCAGCAGTTGACTAGACCAGCACAGGCCTCCCCTGATATCCTGCCCCCTCCCCCACCCCACTTTTGGGGGATGCGGAAGGCCCCTGCCCCCAACTCACCTGCCTGCCCACCCCTCAGCAGGGGACTGTGGCACTCATGAGTACTTGACCTGGGGGGCAGCTTATCTGAGCCTTAATAGAGAAAACTGTACCGTACGTTTTAGTTTCTTATTTAATATATTTGCGCCCAGGCTGCGGTTAGTGGCAGTTTTCGGGGGACGGGGCCTACTGAGTTCTGTCGGGGGCCCAGGGGCTCGGTATCACTCAGCTGGCGCCCTGCGGCTCCCAGGACAAGCAGGAGAATCGAGGGGTGTCCCAGGAGTGTGGGCCCTCTCTTTGGAGCAGGAAGTGGGCCACAGAGGTCTGTTGCAAGGCAGGGGTCCCCCCAGGGCAGCCCCACTGACGGGCACCCAGGGAGCCGTGGTCTGTGTGAACATCAGAGGGGACCCAGAGGCCACGGGGCAGTGGCCAGCCAGGTGGCTGGCCAGCTGAGGCGGTCTTGTACCCCTGGGAGGCTGACCAGGGAGCATGGGGTGAGCTCCCGTGCCTCCCCTCCAGCCGGGGGTGCTTCCCAAGCGAGCTGGACCAGAGGGTCCCTTGAGGCCCCTGTCCTCCCTGGTGTTCTCTCTCAGGCAGCTTGGCTGACTGCGCCGTCCCAAGAAGCTCAGAGGAGAAAGGACGTTCCCTTAGGCGAAGGGCTTGTGTGAGCCCCAGTCCCCCCTTCTCCCAGAGTGAAGAAGACCCTCTGAGCCCCAGCAGCCCACCACGGAAGAGCCGTGGGTCTGGATCCTTGAAGATGCTCAGGGCCCAAGCACTGATTAGGAACCCTCTTCTTTTTTTTTTTTCTTTAAGTTAATTCATTTTGCACAAAACTCGAAAACAACCAAAACGTGTCCACTGTTTGCTGGCTCCAAACCGGGGTGGTGGCCGAGTGGGCAGGGAGAGACCCGAAGCCCCAAGCCCCCTTTCTCTCTCCTTGGAAGGCCTCGGTTTTCCGTGGCCCACCCTTCCAGCTGCCCCCGTCCGGTCTCCCGATGGCGTCCGCTCTCCGCCGTCCCTCCCTGCCCAGCAAGTGTGTCGGCACCGCGACCCCAGAAGTGTGTGCTGTCCAGACCCCCCCGAGAACGTATCGATTGTACACACCTATAAATACTTGTGTTTTATGTCGATATAGATATATACTGTAAATAGCACATATACTTGAGCAATATATGTTAATATATGCTGTGGGCACGCACACGCATGTGCGCACGGTGTGCGGACGCGGACCCCGCTGTGTGCGCACGTGTGCGGGCGCCGGGGCCTCCGCCCGCCGTGTCCCCGACGCACACGGGCACATTTCGAGCCACCGTGTGTTTTTCAATCAAGTTATGCAGGCAATACGTTAGCGGAGAAGCCAGGGCTTGAGAGCAAAACCAAACCAGCAGCCCAAGAGCGGAGCCCCCAGGGCCCGCCCCCCCCCAGTCCCCCCCAGTCCCCCCGAAAGCTGGATTCAGTGCCGTCCTGCACCCCCATTTCCATGGCCAGGGTTTGGTCTGGGGGACACTGGTACGGAGGGAGGAGAAAGGCCATCTTCCCATCGCCCTGAGCCTGAAGACCTGGGCGGGGAGGGAGCTTCCCGCCCCAGCTCTCCACCCGGGGTCCCCCCCCCAACAATGTGGCTGTTCCTGCGTCGTTTTCACCCGCAAGCTCAGATACCTCGGGCTCTTCTCCCAGGCGTCCTCCTGCAGACTAGCCCCGTCTAGCCAGGAAAAGGACCGATGCTGTTGACCTTGTGCCCAGGAGGGGCTGGCGAGGCCTGGGCGGGAGCAGCCACCCGGACCTTCCCCTTCCCCAGTCTCCCTTCCCGCTGTCTGCGTGCCCGTGAGGAGCACAGTCACAGGGACTTGGTCTCCACAGTTCGGGGAGAAGAATGCCCCCCAGTTTGCTGCTTTGTGGGGGGTCTCCAGACCCGCAGGGCCAACGCTGTCTTGGCTCTGGGTGGCGGGCACGTGGCAGGGGCAGGGAGATGGGGCTCCTGAGCAAGGCTGCGGAGAGGTCGGGGTGGGCTCTGGGTGTGTGTGGCTTTGCCTCTGTGTCCCATGCCAGCCGATGGCCACCCCTGCCCATCGCCTGCTCCATCCCTGCGCACTACAGAGAGGAGGTGGGGAGAGGAGGAGGCGTAACCACCCCCTTCTCTCTCTCAACCCCAGTTATAAAAATCTGTCTCCGAGGTTCAGCCCTCAGCATGGGCTCCTCCGGTTCCCAAGAAACCCCTTCCTCCCTCTGCCCCCGGGGCAGAGGTGGGCAGCGCCAGCCCTGCGCCGCCTTTGGGGTGGGGGAGGGTCTCCAAAGCCCAGAGCACACATCCAAGCTAGAGAGGTGTGCGGACTTCCCCACCCCGGGATCCAGGGGGTCCCAAGTCTCCCAACCACCAGCATTCTCCCCATTCCACCAACTGCAGGCCACGGGCCTCTGGTGGGACCCAGAGCCGCCAGCCGTGGCCTCCCCCATTGGGCAGCATGGCCTTGGTGACCAGTGCCGGTTCCGGAAGAAGATGCGTGGTCTGGCGAGGCTTGTCCCCTGTGAGGTGATGGAGGACGGCCTGGAGGTCAGGAGAGAAGGTTCTGGTTTGATGGGTAGGGTGAGGCCCCTGTCCCAAGCCAAGGAGCCTGGTAGTCAAAGATGAATCTGCCCCCGCCCCCACCAGCCCCTCCTGGCCCCTTTTCTCAGGCTGACCATTAGGGGTCCCTGGACCACCTTTCTGGGCCTCTGGATCTGGAAGTGGGGACAACTTGGGCCCTTCCCAGACGGAGCTAAGAGGGACCTCAAGGATCTCCCAGGAGACAGCAGAGCGCTCCTGCGCTCTGTGACCGAGTTTCTGATGCCACTTCCTGAGTGAACCCCGGGGAAGCGGGGGTAGGAAGAAATCCCCCAGTGATCTGTGTCCCCTGTAAGCGGGGAGAGGGGACCCGCCCGTCGTGGCGGTCACAGCCGCTGGGAAATGGAGCAGGCGTTTGGCTTGGTGAGCAGAGCTTGAGGTGGGGAGGATAATGGAGTCTCCCCGCACCTCACGCCCCCAAAGACGGGAGCTTTGGCTTTTCGGGTTTTCCCAGATGCCGTGCTGGGAGAGGGCTCGGCCCGGAGCGGGCAGTAGCCTCCCTTGAAAGAGGCTGTGAGGCCCTCAGCCAACCAAGATGGCCCCCGGGGAGGGGTCCTGGGGCGAGAGGCCCGGTGGTCTGAGGGCAGCTGAGCCCCACTCCCCACTCTAGATAGCTTTCCCCGCATCCCAGGCTCCTTTTCTTCCTTTCATTTTCAAATTAGAGGCTTTTTCCTCTCTCCTGCTCTTTCCTTAAGCCCTGGGAGGAAGCCACAGGGCGGCCTTCAGCTTTGACTCCCGGGAAGCCTGCTCCGTGGGGAAGGCCAAGGCCAGACAGGCGCTGGCAGCAGAGCCACCAGGAGTGGCCCCGGGATAGCGGGGGAGGCCTGCAGCCTGGCCCTATGGCCTCCGGGGCGGGAGGCAGTTTGAGGCTCTCGGTTCAAGGTGGGACAAGGCCGGGAGCCCGGACAGTGTTGTGTGCTGGGCCCCGCGTGCGCGGTGTCCCGCCTGCGAGTGTGTGCGCACCCCTGGGCCCACCCAGATCCCGGCAAGGGGCCTCGCCCAGTCCGTATTTTGCAGCCTCGGGAGCCTTGTCCCCGTGGGCCGCACAGAGTGGGGTTGGCAGTGTGTGGGTGGCAGGCCTCGCCGCAGGGCTGCCCCCAACTCCCTCGACTTCATTAAGCTGCTCGGAGGGGCGGGGCGTGTCCCCCGCAGACAGCACTCGCCAGGAGAGACTTCGGGTGCCGGCGCCCCTCACCTGTGTGGGCCCCTCAGGGTCCCAGGACAAGGAGCGCAGTTGGTGGAGGAGGAGAAACAGGCCAAACTCAGGTCCCAAGAGAGAGGTCAAACCCAGTGCATTTTCCAGTCCTCTGCCTCAGTTTACCTCCCCAGAAAACCGTCCAGGAAGAACTGAGCAGGGCTGGCTCCCCAACGGGGGTGGGGTGTGGGGGGCACTGACAACAGAATCCCAAGTCCTCTTGCTCTATGCCAAAATTATTTCCGTTATCCTGAGACGGGGGTGAGCGGATGGTGGGTGCATGACGGGGCTCTGAGGGGCCTGCGCCCCGCCCAGGGCCTCGCCTCGGGGATCTGGCCCTCACCTGGCATGTCCCGGGTCACCAGCAGCCGTAGCAGGGGCGCTTAGATCCATCCCAAGTTCTGGGGCGAGGGGGAGCACGGGGCCACCCAACACCCCAGGGCCCTCATGCTTTTACCCTCTTTGTCGAAGACACACAAAACCCTCGAGATTCATGTACTGTATGACGAAGAGAAAAAAAAAAGTACCTAATGTTCCCCCCCCAAAAAGACAGTATATTTTGTACTTTGTAAAGTGTTAATTAAAATGGAGACAAAAATGGATGTTGGCTGACCACTGTCTGATTTGGGGCCCACCCGGGTCCGCATCTGCGGTCTTCCCTTTCTCTGAGCCGCGGCCGGACGGGCTGGTAGCAGGGAGCACAGCCGGGGTGGGAGGGGGACGCCGGGAGGAGGGAGAGCAAGTCTTCCAGCCCCACAGCCAGAGTCTGAGAGGAGAGACACCCGCCCAGAGCGAGGGGGGCTGTCATTGCCGCCCAGTGCCGTGTGACGAGCAGCCCCCAGACCTCACAGCTTCACAAAGGACTGGGTGCGTGTGCGCGCGCGCGTCGTGGTGTGCGTGGGCTCGGGATGGGGGAGCAGCTGCAGCCGTTCGGGCTCAGAGCCACCCAGTCACCTGAAGTCTTGGCTGAGACCGAAGGGTCTGCTTCCAGAGGCGGTTTAGTCACACAGCTGGTGGGCTGGGGCTCCCCAAGGGGTGGAGTTCGCTCGCAGTAGGGAGCCTGGCTTCCCCCAGAGCCCAGGGACGCGAGGGCCAGGGTAGAAGCCCAGACGGTTTGGAGTTCTCACGCCTCGGAATTCCCACAGACCACCCACCACCCCAGTCTGTGGTGGTAAAGCCTGGCTCTGGTTTGACCCAGGAGAGACCACGCAAGGTCAGGGTCTCGGGGGACCGTCTTGGAGGCCGTTGACTCCACCCACCAGTCCTCCCCAGGCCTCTGGCAGAGGTGGGCCTGGGAGTCGGGGGCCTGTGGGGCAGGACAGAGCTCCTTCCCCAAGCCTGGAGCCCTGCTGTGGACAAAACACACAGACACACACAGGGCCTGGGGGTCGGGGACACATACACACACACACACACACACACACACACACACACACACACCTCATCCCCTCACCCCCAACACTGCCTGGTTCTGGAAGGGTCGGTCCTGGGGGTTGGGGACACACACACACACACACAAAACACACAGACACACACAGGGCCTGGGGGGTTGGGAACACACACACATACACACACACACGTATGTTCTGGAAGCCCAGGCATGGATACCTCCACACAGGACACCCTGGAGGCAGAAGGGAGGGCTCCTGCCCAGCGTCCCTCCCACAGGACTCTGGCGTCTGGCTCCTTGCCCTCTTGGCAGGTGGGCGTTATGGCTACCCCAGCAAGAGGCCCTGGATCTCTCTGGTATTTTCCACAGAAGGAAAGCAGGTGTGAGCAGGGCAGGGCTGAAGACCCGTGTCCCCATTTAGGCCCACCCCACCTCAGCCCTGCCACCCTGAGCCCAGGAAGCTCTGCTGCTGTGAGGGCTTTTCCCTCTGGGGTCTGCGGACCCAGCGCCCTCGCAGGCCGTCAGAGGACATCCGGGAGCCGGGACATCCGTGGGGACTCAGGTGGCCGCCGCAGGGAGGGTCAGGGGTGAGGGGACAGAAGCAGAGACACCAGGGGAGAAGACAACTGTGGAGAGGGTCTGGCGTGTGCCAGACGCACTCCAGCCAGCCAGGCAGATGGAGCCCGACTGCGAGAACCTGGGTCATAAGACACATCCAAGGCCGTCCCTTTCAGTGCCCTGGTTGCTGTGTCCCAAGACGGAGGTAGTGGCGGGGCCTGAACCTTGGGTGGGAGGCTTGAAACCACTCCGACCTCCAACGGAAACCCTGCCCGGCACCATCACGTCCTGGCCCCGAACACCAGGCTGGTGGGACGCAGGAGGCATGACTTTGACCTTCGGGGCACGTGCCCTCCCTAAATCAGCAGGTGCTGTAAGAATGCACGGGGACGGATTTCTGTTCTCCACCGCCGGGTGACGGCACACGGCCCAGCCAGGAGTTTTGGGAAGGAAAACGACAAGTCATTTACTCTCCCGGAAGATCTTTCGTGGCAAGTGAAGGAGCCGGTACTCCGCGGAGAAATGGAGGTGACGCGAGCCCAGGAGATGGTCCCGGGGCTGCTCTCCCAGACACAAGGTCCATGGGACCTGGCTGGGTCCTACGGCCTCAGCTCACAGCAAGGACTACTCAGTGACTGTTTCACTCATTTTTTTTTTTTAAGATTTTTATTTAGAGAGCGAGCATGACAGGAGGAGGGGCAGAGGGAGAGAATCCCAAGCAGGCTCACGCCAAGCAGGCTCCAGCGTGGAGCCCAACAAGGGGCTTGATCCCACAACCCCAAGGTCATGACCTGAGCCGAAATCAAGAGTCAGATGTTCAACGGACTGAGCCACCCAGACGCCCCCTAAAAATTGTATTTTTAAGTCATCTCTACACCCAATATGGGTCTCGAACTCACAACCCCGAGCTCCATGGAGCAAGCCAGCCAGCCACCCCGACCGTTCCCCTTCCTGCAAAGCCCCTGCACGGCCAGCCCCATTCCCCGGCTCTGCTGGTCTCCACGGCCCATGTAAGCAAGCACCATACACTCCGTTTGGCTTGTCGCTGTGTTTCGCCTCCCAGAACGTAAGCTCCATGGGACCTGCTTCCGGGGGCGTTGTCCCCGAGTGGTCCGGTGTGACCGACAGTAGCTGCCCCACCGGGACAGAGTATCTGTTGAAGGAATGAGTCAGAGGAAGGGGGTGCGGCCACAGGGCGAGACCCCGGGGGGTGACCCGGTTGTCGTTTTCTCCCAACGAAACCGTGGGGAGGAGACTGTGCAGACACACCGTTTTCAGGCAGGACTGTCTTCTGAAGTATTTGTCACTGGCTTCTAGTTTGTCTCTTTAACAAAAGCCTTGTTTTTGTGAGCGAATCTCTAAATGATCAAGTAAGATTTAAAAAAAAAACAAAAAAAACTCTTCAGTGCTCAAAAACAAAAAGGCAGAAAATAGACTTTATTCCAAAAGAGATTTTCCAAAGATGTTTTTAAACGAAAGGCCAAGTTGACGTTACGACCTCAACTGTTTTCCGTGATTTCTGGGTCTCTCCTCCGGGGCTGGCCCTCCAGCCACGCTTCTGAAAGCAGGGGTATCTGGTGCACAAGAACGTGGCCTCGCTCTAACTTCTCCGAGCTTCTCAGCCCGGCTCCCGCACTCAGGCGGGGACTCGCCCTGACGCCCACAAGCCCACCACGAGCTCTGCTGGGGTCCGAGGCTTACGGAACCCCTCCTGGCCACTAGAGCCATCAGGCAACCTTCAAGCGCAAACAGAACGGCATGGCTTAGAGCTAAGCTTCCCTCAGGCCAGCTGCTCGGGTCGGATGAGACACAGCCCGGGGCCCCTCTCGCTGGTGCTTGGCCGGATGAGGACAGCCATCCCCTGATGATGCAGGGGGTCCCACCCTCGGCCAGAGAGGGGCCTGAGTCCCGGGACTTCCAGTTCTTGCTAAGGGCACTGGCAGAGAGCGTCACGCGTCACAAGGGGTCTGGGTCCTCTCTGACCCCCGGCAACAGCCCCGCTGGGGTCTCTGCCAAGCAGTCCAAGGGGTTCTGAGGCCAAGTTCCAGGGTCGAGCTTCAGATGAAGGACTTGGCCAGAGTCACCATGTGGTCCACACCGCACGCCACATCCACGGGCTCCCCAGGCATGGTCACCTGCAAAACAAGACCCAGCACAGCGTGAGGGGACATGGTTCGGAAGCCGCCCATCCTGGGCCTGAGCCCGGCTCTGCCTCTTGGTGACTTGACCCATCTGAGCCCAGCAGGGCAGTTCCAACGACCGTGCAGACACCCTGGCGTCCCACGCAGCCAACGGCAGACGTGACTGTTCCTACCCGCCCGTCGCAGAGGCTACCAGAACCCGCAGCTCCCACAGAGGCTACTCAGCCCTGCGGTCAACACCTGTTCCCAAGCCAGGGGCTCGGTGACCTTTCCTGGGGGTCACCCCCATGGCTCCCTGGAGCTCAAGAAGCCCCAGCTCCCGACGCCGGGGTCCACTCTGGGAAGGAGGCCCCCGGCCGGCATCTGCGGCTGCGCACGCCGTCAGCCTCAGTCCCGGGCCGGCAGTTTCCTGCACGACATGCATCCTCGACAAGGAAGGTCTCCCGTGTCGCAGAGGGGGCCACGGGCCCTGCGGGCCACCCTGCAGCAGCGCCCGCCCATGCGGACAGCATGGCCGTCTATCATTATCGTTCTTTCAATAGGTAAGACCCTCTCCTGGGCACAGTATAAAATGACATTCAGTGAAAAAGAATTAAAAAGATATGAAATCCCTTTTTTTTTTTCTTTATTTTTAAGTAGTCTCTACACCCGCTGTGGGGCTCGAACTCACAGCCCCGAGATCAAGAGTCACACGTTCCGCCCACTGAGCCGCCCGGGGCTCCCCGGTATTAAGTACCTTTTAACCCCACCCTGTCGGCATCTGTCCCTTTATTCCCACCTTCCCTCTGAACCGGAAACCCCTTCCCGCTGGCTTCCACCGCCCCCGCAGAGGTTCCTGACACAAGCTCCCTGACCGGCTCTGAGTGTCAGTGTGCGGCTCGACAACCTCCAGGAAAGCTTCTGGAAGGAGAGGTTGGAGTCGGGGGTGGGGGCGCGGGTGTCCCTCCCTGAGTCCGCAGAGGGTCAGGGCAGCCCGGGCTCTGTGAGTCTGCCAGTCTGCGGAGAACCAGTCGGTGCTGCTGCAGGAGCTACAGACCGGGCTTTCCTCTGTTCTCTCCCCTTCCTGGAATACTTTTAAAGTGACACAACGGTTCCCCCACCGAAGATTAGTAAGAAAATACAAATTTTTTAAAAATAAAAATCACAGGGCGCCTGGGCGGCTCAGTCGGTGAAGCCTCTGCCTTCGGCTCAGGTCGCGACCCAGCGTCCTGGGATCGAGCCCCAAGTCGGGGGGAGGGGGTCCTCGTTCAGTGGGGAGCCTGCCTCTCCCTGTCCCCCTCCACCCACCGCGCCTGTGCTCTCTCTTGTTACGTCTCTCTCTCTCTTAAATAAATAAAATCTTTAAAAATAAATAAAATAAAAATTAAAATCACGTGTCATTAAAAAACAACAACAACAGAAAGAAAGTGCAAGAGAACAGGCTGGAGATAAGACCCCACTACCCGGCACCGGACGAGTCTGATCTTTAAGGACTCCAACCCCGTGGATCCCAAACCCAGTTCCTGCCACCGCCGTTGCCCAGAGCCCGGGCTGGCAGCTGTGGGCCCGGGGAGCACGGCGAGGGCCAGGCCCTCAGCACCACGCCCGGAGGCACTCGGGGCCGCCTGCCACCCACCCGCACGCAGGGCTCCACCGAAGTGCCAGGGGGAGGGCAGTGGTTTGACAGGAAAGCAGCTGTCGGGGGGGCGGCCTGGGGCGTCCCTCCCTGCCAGCAGGGGTGCAGGGAGCCACGTTCCCAGAGGCCACCTGGTGAGTGAGGAGTCCGTGGAGGGGGACTCTGGCCTGAACCGCAAGTGCGGCCTTGGCACCTGGGCGCTTCCCGCCCCACAGCGGGCACCACCCCCCGCCATTTCAACAGGACAGTGCCCAGATTCCAATCTTAATGCCTGGCTGATCTCCACTGTACTCTGGGGGGAAGGCAGGCAGGAGGGAGCCCCCCACACCCGGCACAGCGGTACGCGTCCAAACCCCAGCCACTCGGCCGCTTCCCCTCGGCGAGAAGTGAGGATCTGCCACGAAGCGAGTGGGACCTCCGCGTCACGGGCGTCCGTGTCACCTGTCCTAACCCCCACTGTCCACCAAGCAACGGGCCATTCCTCACCCACAAGGGGATCGCAGGCTCGGGGCTGAGCGAGAAGGCCCCCGCCAGACCGCGCCCCACTCCGGCACACAACCATCCTCTCCAGCGAACAGGAAGCCCCTGTCCTGACCTGGTTTCCTAGGGACGGCACCTCTAGTCTTTACGAAGGGCGCGGGGCCTGCCGAGGTCACCGGGAACCAGGACGGTCTGCAGCCAAAGGAAACAGCCCCCCGAGACTGAGGTGCCTGGGAACGTCTTGCAGAGGGTTTTGGACAAATCCTGATTTTATTTAAGTTCGACACCGTGTCCGCCTTTTCACCGGAGGTTTTACAAAGTGCTCTGCGCTATTTCAAAACACGTTATTAAAACCAGCCTAGCGCACGTACACACACGCACGCGTGCACGCACATCTCAACGCAGAGACTGTCTGGAAGGACACCCAAGAAACTAGTACCAGCGGCCTCTGGGACCAGAGATGGGAGACTCGTTTTTTGTAACGCCGCTGGTACCACGTGGGTACATACGGTCCGTAGGCAAAAATACAAACCGCTTTTTTTCCCTAGGAGAGCTTTGTAAACAACACTGAGATAAACTACAATTTAGAAAAGAACCTTTTTCCCCTTTAATTTTGCAATGAGCCTTTTCTTTCTTTTTTTTTTTTTAAAGATTTTATTTATTTATTTGACAGAGCGAGAGAGATCACAAGCAGGCACAGAGGCAGGCAGAGAGAGAGAGAGGAGGAAGCAGGCTCCCTGCGGAGCAGAGAGCCCGATGCGGGGCTGGATCCCAGGACCCTGGGATCATGACCTGAGCCGAAGGCAGAGGCTTTAACCCACTGAGCCCCCCAGGCGCCCCACAATGGGCCTTTTTTGTATAATTGCATCCTCCCCCTAAGGAGAGCTTTCATTTTTTTACTTTGGTGGCTGTGGTAAGGCCCTATGAATATTAAACATCCTTTCTTTCCAATTCGCTGTAAAACTTTCCTCCGCACAGGCTGTAAACAGGTCCCGGCGCAGCAGCTTTGACGTTTCCCATCTCTCCCTCTCAGGGACCCCAGGGCACCCGGCCTGCATGTGGCCTTCTCCTTGCGGAGGCACTGGCGTGCCTCTGTTTCCCCGCTCCACCTGCCCACAGACAGCCTCCAGACGAGGGGCTGGAACCCTCGGCCCGCCTGCTCCCCTCTCCGGCAGGCCGCTCACCCAGCAGGCCGCGGGACAGAGCTGAGGGCATGAGCCCAGAGAGCTAGGCGCCCTCCCTGGCTCCTCACCACGATGGGGCCTCCCTTGGAGCCTCCCTTGGAGCCGCGGGGCAGGAGGGGACAGCCGAGACCTGAGAGGGGGCGCCGTGGCCAGCCACACGCTGGGGGAGCCCCACGCCCTGGGCGCGCCTTCAAGCCCGCCCAGCACAGCCTTACCCTCCACGGGAAATACTGGTCTTCCAGACGGCCGATGCCCAGGCACCCGCGGATGTTCTTGCCCCACACAAACAGCTCTCCTCTGTCTGCAAAGAAAGGAAAATGGTGTGTGGTTGGAGCTAGACCAAGAGCAAGTCTCCAGGAGGAGGGTCATGAGAACAGGCTTTCTAGAACCAGGGACCAAGAGGGCCCAAAGTCAAATTTCAATTTCCACCCGGCCTTAATGCTCTCCTTTGAATGGACGCGCGCTGCGCCTGTCACACGGGGGACGGGCACACATGCGGAGCTCTGAGGCCAGCAGCTCCGCACAGCCCGCTCTGCTCGCCCCTTCTGCACACCCCCTCCTCAAAGCCTGGCAGCCGACCCCCTCGGGCCCGAGTCACACCCCAACAGAGAAGCAGGACGATCCGTTATTCCTTATCTGGTTTCCATATCTCAGGACCATGTGGTCCAGAGATACGCAGTGACCAGTGCCTCTTTGGGCCGGGTCTACGTCCGTGTGCCAGGAAGCGGGACAGGGCCGCGACTGAACACGCACGGTCCCTGCCCACACGGGGCTGCGGTGACTCAAAGAGTAAGACCTAGACAAGGGAGCAGACCTCACCGTAAAAACGGATGTTCACCAATTGTATGAAGAGCTGTGAAGGAGGACGGCCCGGCAGACCGAAGGCACAGGGGGCCCTGGAAGTGCCAACCTGCAGGACGGACCCCCAGCCCGGCAGGGCACCACCCGCAGCCCCGCCTTTGCCGCAGATTTCCGTCCACGCCAGCTGGGGGCGCCCCTCGGCACAGAGACCCCATTCCTGGCAAAAGGCTGCGGTCACAGGGAATAGAAGAAAAGCCACGGAAAAGCCAGGACTACAATAATCCAGGCTGATTAAAAAAGAAACCCCTTTGTTCCAAGCTGTCAGAGCCCTCTGCTCTCACTATCCTCCTTGGTCCTCCCCACTCGGATCTGAGCCTTCCGACAGAACAATTCATTCTGGCCCCCGCTCCGGAACGAGAGCAGACCTGGGGGTAAACCACCACTGCCAGCCAACCCCCAGCTGGCCGGATGCAAATGCTGGGCCCACAGACGGGGCCGAGTGCCAGCTCTGACGCTGCCCCGACTGAGGGGCAGCAACTGGCACGTGGAGGCGGCCACCGGGCCCTGGGGAAAATCAACGGGACCCACAGCGGCCGCACGGCCTGACAGCAAACGGGAAACAGTCCACCCCCGTCGAACACGTCGTACGGACTTCCAAGCATGCGACTCTGCACGCAGTGTAAGCCCGGAAACGCCCTAGAAAATACACCTTTGTTACCCCCAGAATTCGGCCGTATGGCTTCTTACGGGCTCAGGCAAAACGGCCTCAAAAACCTGCCATGACTCAGGGCAACCCAAACTCACCGTCCCAGCCCGGATGTTCCCAAAGAAAACAACTACTTCCCATGAAATGTGATTTTCCAATCGCAAGGAAACCACAAATCTGCTTTGGAGAACCACAACGGGAAATGAGCGTCGTTCGGCCTGACTGTTCACGTCCGCGACAGAGGCAGACCCATCCGGCAGCTCGTGGAGGCGGCGTAACAGACGCGGCGACACACCAGCCAGAGGACCGCCGAGCCACGGGATCCTTCATGGCTCTGTAGTCTGGCAACACTCGGCGAAAACCTGCATCTTGGCCTTGCCTTTGATCCCGCTGGAGGACTTGGGCAGCCTGGCCCCCGCGAGACCGCAGGACGGGCTCCCAGACCCACCTCCTGTGGCCCCTGTCGCCTCCTGGTCACCCACTGTGGATTCACCAGCCCGTAGCTGGCTTCCGCCAGCACCCCGACATGCTCGACCCTCTCCCACCGCCAACAGGTGTCCTCACGAGGAAACTCGCTTTACCGTGGCCTGACCACAGAGCCAATGAACTCTGGGATGAAGAGGAGACGCACATCATACGACCTCAAGGCCAAGCGCCTCATGGCTCAGCCGCCCTCCTGAAGGTCTGTAAGCTCAGCCGCCCCGAGGGCCACACGGGCCGGGCCACTCACTGGTCAGGGCAGCAAAGTGGCTGAGGCCACATCGGATTAGGGAAACGTGGACTCCCGTGTTGAACTCCGTCAGGCCGAAGAGACTGGGCGGGATCACCTCGGGAAGGGCACTTTCCACAAGGTTCGGTCCTTTCCCAAGAATTCCGTAGCCCCAGACGAAAACATGTCCTTCTCCTGCATTAGAGCAAACACCACGGTCAGTCGGGCGAACGAGCGCAGCCCACCCTCCCTGGAAATTCAGATCATGCCACCAAAATCCCGTGTCCACGTGGATGGGTTTTTCCCCCTCCTTGCTTGTCAAGAACCCACGGACGGAGATCTAAAATCGCGTTTCTTCTCTCCCTTTTTCCAAGTCCTGCTCGTGGCAGACGTCCAGCCAGCGAACCCTGCTCAGGACACGAGCTTCCCACATCTGGAGCTAACCAGGACCGGCCCCGGGCACCAGCCACCCAGCTGCCCAGTGAGCACAGGGGAGGCTCGGGACGGTTTTCCCCACCCAAAGGTTCTACATTTCACACCGAGGGCAGGAGCAAGCCGAGGACACGACCAACCTGTGGCCACATTCCTAAAAGTCTCAGAAATGAGTATCCTGGTCACAGAAGGTTTACTGCTTCTCAGCGGTGCCTGGCGTTTAACTGGGCACAGGCCTTGGGATCCATACCTGATGGCTCTCCTCTCTGCCTAGTGTCTTTGGACACAGCCTCCCTGGGGAAGGCGGGGCTGAGTCTCTGGCCCAGGGGGAGGGACAGGGAGGAGGAGACCCCAGAGGTCGGCTATCATTACAGAGGTTAGAAGGCTCTCATCCTCTGTCAAAAACGTCACCCTCAGCACCTATGAAACTGAGCCCATGGGGAGCCTGGGTGGCTCAGTGGGTTAAGCCTCTGCCTTCAGCTCAGGTCATGATC